TAAGCTTGAGACATTCCTAGGCAAATGGATGCACCTTGAGGCCATGCTGTTAAGTGAAATAAATTGGACACACATGTATAAGTACCACATTGTTTCTCTGGTATGAGAAGCCGAAAGTGTAAATAAGGACCAAAATGTATATCAGGTATTGAGAAATAGGAAGAAAATGTTCAAATGGGGAGGGGGACAATGGAGAAAGGAGAGAAGGGAAGGTAAAGAAAGCAATCACAATCTAAAAGAAGGACATTGTGGAGAAAGGAGAGTGGAGTTCACGTGACCAAGCTCACTAAGATGTGCAGCATGTTGCAACCCACCATCCTGACAATCTTACGGGGAAGAGCTTTGTATGAGGAAGTTAGTTAGATGTCTATAAGGAAGTTAGAAGTTAACGTGCATCTATCCCTGTGTTATGGTGCTTTTAATTATTTCGTGAAGATACCGAGAAGGAGAATAGCTAGATCAAATCAGACCTCTAGTTTTAGTTTTTTGAGGAATCTCCACACTGATTTCCACAGTGGTTGCACCAGTCTACACTCCCACCAGCAGTACAGAAGGGTTCCTTTTTCCCCTCACCCTGGCAGCACTTGTTATTGGTTGATTTCTTGATAACAGACATTCTTTCTGGGGTGAGATGGAGTCTCAGCACTAGTGTTACTCAAATTAGTTAAGTCATGATCAAAAGTGTTAGGCAAGGTAGAAGGCTATTATTAGTGTTGATAAAAGGCAGATGGCAGGTTACAGCCTGAGTCTATAATTTGTGAAAAAGCTAGGGCTATAAATACAGGCTTCATAAAGGATAATCAGTCAGTGAGTGATAGCAGTGAAATATTTCATGCCAATAAGGGGCGATTTCACAATTTTAAAGTGAGAACCAGCCGGGCGTGGTGGTGCACACTGTAATCCCAGCACTCAAGAGGCTGAGACAGGAGGATCATTGCAAGTTGAAGACCAGCCTGGGTTAGAAAGTAAGCTCAAGGCCAGCCTGAACTGCATAGTGAGAAAAGACCTTGTCTCAGAAAAGACCAAGAAAAAAAGCAAAAAGTGAGAACCGGGGTTCAGAGTGTAACTAGGCATGGTGAAGCAACCACTGCTGATAAAAGGGCTGCTGAAAATTACATACACCACCTTGCAACAGTGACACAAAGAAATGGCTTTTGCTCTCGTCAAGTTTTCAACAGTGGTAAAACTGGCCTTTTCTGGAAGAAAATGCCCAGGAGAACATACATTACCCAGGAAGAGAAGAAAATGCCAGGCCACAAGCCTATGAAGGATAGGCTAACCTTATTACTATGTGTCAGTGCAAATAGTGACCTCAGGATAAAGCCTCTCTTGGTTTATCAGTCTGAGACCCTTAGAGTGTTCATAAAACATAAAGTCATGATGTAAGGGCACACTTACAGAATAGCAGACTTGTGGGCATATTATAGCAAAAGTTAGAAGTCATTTCATAGCCTGTGACTATGCTCATGCTACCTGTCACT